CTTGGCTACGGGTTACAACTTCTTGCTCGCTTTGTTGCAAACTAGACTCCAATATAACAGCCTCAGCAACTTTGGCATCCAGTTCCGAAAGGCGAGCTACATGTTGCTCCTACTCTACCTAAAGCTGATCCCTTGAGAAGGCTCCAAATATGATTTTAAACCCGTTCGAGGACGAATGTTTGTTTAAGAGGGGGAGAATGCAATGATCCGGCCGGTCGTTTTGAGTATTATAATCCCGTTTCCCCATTTACTGCTCAAGTTATGCTTTACAGTTATTTTATGACTTACTGGGTTAGTTGGTTCAGGCCCGGAAGGATTTCGGAGTGAAATGAGACACTTAATCTCATAATTGAAAACTTAAGTTGGAAAAGTTATCGGATGTTGACTTATGTGTAAACGACCTCGGATTTGAATTCTAATGATTCCAATAGCTCAGTATTTTGGACTTAATTAGGAGCGTGTCCGAAAAATTATTTGGAGGTCCGTAGTGGAATTAGGCTTGAAATGACGAAAGTCAAATTTTTGAGAAGTTTGACTGAGGGGTTGAATTTTTGATATTGAGGTCGGAATCCGATTATGAAAGTTTGAATATGTCCATTATGTCATTTATGACTTGTGTGCAAAATTTGAGCTCAATCGGACTTGATTTGCTAGGTTTCGGCATCGAATATAGAATGTTCCGACGTCGTTTCTTCGAGAATAAGTCGTATCACATTAAGCAAATGAGCTTCAAATTCAGTTTAGATTGAAGCATTAGATCTGTATTGAAATTACGGAGCCATAGCATAAAGAATAGTCAAATTCAGACATTGTATGAGAGAGTTATGCCCATTGCCGTATCGGGAACGATTTTCCGTCGCCGCCAGCGCCCAGGGTAGCGTGGGGCGCTAGCCCTGGCGCTGGAAATTTTTGAGATACTGGAAACTGACCCACAGGAAGCGCCCCACGCTACATGTAGCGCTCGAAATAGCTGAGTCCCTATAAACGGGGGGTGGCTAATCTTTACATAAAAATAGTTGGAGAGCTCGGTTTGGGAGATTTTCAGAGGCAAACTTCACAAATTGGACTGGGGTAAGTGATATTAACTTGGTTTGGTCCGTTATTCATGAATGTAACATTATTTCTAGCACTTATTTCATGGTTTGGGGGATTAGAATAGAAATTTTCCAAAAATTGATTTGAGGGTTTGAAGGCCGAATCGGAGTCGGAATTTAGTAATTTTTGTATGGTTGGACTCGTGGTTGAATGAGCGCTCATATTTTGTAACTTTTGTCGGGTTATGCGGCGTGGGCCCCACTATTAATTTTTGAGTTAATTTTGAATTTTATTGTGAAATTTAGCATTTTCATATGGAATTGATTCCTATACCTTGTGTTGATTGTATCGAATTATTTTGACTAAGATTTGAGGCGTTTAGAGGCCGAATCGCGAGGAAAAGACTTATTGGAATAAAGAATTGCTCGGATTGAGGTAAGTAACAGTTCTAAATTTGCTCCTGAGGGTATGAAACCCCGGAGTTTGTGATATGTGATTGGTTTTGAGGTGACGCACATGCTAGGTGATGGGCGTGTGGGCGTGCACCGTAGGAATTGTGACTTGGTCAAATTCCATGGAATTGTGTAATCGAATAATTTGTTGTTATTTGTACATTCTCCATGTAGTATAAAAATTAAACCACAAATCATATTTAGATTATGTGTTGGCACTGTAGGGACCCACAGAGGTCGTGTACATATTGAATTATCTGCTAAATTGAGATTTTGTACTCAGTCACAGTTTATTTTTTATTTTATCTCAGTCTCTATTGTTCATTATTGATGCATCATATCATTGTTGTTTGGGCTGATTTTTCATGATTATTGAGAGCCCGAGAGACCGGAGAGATTTATGACTAAGTGAGACCGAGGGCCTGATTGTGAGATATTATACTATAGCACGTGAGTTGTCCGTGCAGATCCAGATATTATATTATAGCACATGAGTTTCTGTGCGGATCTAGATATTATATTATAGCATGTGAGTTGTTCGTGCTGAGACAGATATTATATTATAGCACGTAAGTTGTCCGTGCAGTACATGAGTTGTTCGTATGGATATAGATATTGATACTATAACACGTGAGTTATATATACAACACGTGAATTGTCCGTGCATATTATAACTCTTGGGCTGAAGGAGCCCCTCCAGAGTTTGTACACACCCCTAGTGAGCGCAGGTACCTACTGAGTGCGAGTGCTGAGTGCTGAGTGCTGAGTGAATGAAATGGCTGAGTGACTGTGGCCCTAAGAGGATGCATATGATTTCATTCTTATTGCACTACAGTTGTCATATATTACTGTATTGGAAATTTTTGAAAGATATTATCTTTTTTTTTTAGTCGAACTTGATATGAAATTATTATTGAGTGTTAAATGTTGAACATGAAAGCATGTCCTAAATCTTATGTTGGAAATTAATGTAATTGGACTCAGATGTGAAGCTCGTCACTATCTTCAACTCTTTATTTAGTATTGTTACTTGCTGAGTTGGTTGTACTCATACTACACCCTGCACCTCGTGTGCAGATCCAGGTAACTCCGGATACGGCGGTTGCTAGATTTTCGGAGCTTTATCTGTGGAGACTATCGAGGTAGCTGCTTGGCGTCCGCAGACCTTGACTCTCTTCTGTTCAGTTGTTGTACTGTTTTACATTTTTCAGACAATATTTTTTTTATCTGCCAGACGTTGTTGTCATTTAGATACTCATGTACTCAGTGACATCAGGTTTTGGGAATGTATCTTATGTCAGTAATTTGTGAGATTTTTCTATGGGAATTCAAATTTTATGATTTCAAACTTAAGAGAAAATGTGACTTATTGAGGTTGTCGGCTTCCCTAGTATTGAGATAGGCGTCATCACGACAGGTTAAAATTTTGGGTCGTGACATGGGTATTCCTTTTCCACCAAGAAATATGATTCCATTTAATTCCTAATTATTCGGGCACGGCAGGGACCACAAAATTTAATTAACGAGGCTTCCTATTATGTACTTAATTCGAAATATCCGAATTAATACTACCATAATAAATTACGAATTATTCCACTAAAAATTCAAAACTGCACTCCTCAGTTCAATTTCAAAATTCTTCCATTAAACCTTATTTAATTCCCCGTGTTAAGATTCAGATACTAATCAAATAAATAAATTACTGACAATTTAATTCATTGATTATTTCTTTTAGACTTTCGCTTAACTTATTTCATGTGACTGATACAAAATCCACCTGCAAGGTTTACACATGAAAACTTATAAGCTTTCATAAATGTGTATCATCAATCTCTAGACCGAGACATGGATTCGATCAACTAACTATTACTTCGCCAATGTATATCATTATTGTCCAATTTACCAGGCATATTGATCCACAAAAGAATCTTTTTAATAAATTAAATAAATAAATAATATACAAAACTAATAATAAATATATCAAGATTAAGAGTATAAGTACGTTTAGTGGCTAGAGAAGTTATTTTATTAAGTCAGTATAAAATACTTATCTCTACTTGGTCCGTTCAATACATACAAAATGTACTAGCATAAGAAGTAGGAATTAAACCATTCCCATAATCAAGATAAATTATATTTAATTTTGTGCTCCAATCATTCCTGATGGTTTGTCCAATTCCATCATTAGATTGTGAACATAATCTTTATATTTAAAAGAATCGATGATTTAATTTTCCGTGTATAAGCTAAATTGTATACACTAAATCATCTGCTATATAAGTAAAGGACGCAGAGGAATATATGATCTATTTAAAACTTTATTAAAATTGAATACACAATTTTTCCATAATAAATACTATATCCAAACCAAATCCATGCAGAGATGGATCCAGAATTTTAAGACCATGGGTGCACCACTATACTTGTCATGATATCAAGAGATGTAATTGTTTTTAGTGTTTTATGACATATTAATAATTTTGCACATTATTAAAAGAGATAAACTATAATCTTGCTAATCTAAATTTGTGTTTGTCATTAATATTATTAATTATAATCTGACAATCATTACATAATATTTGTCTTAACATAAAAATCAAAATAACAAGGAAAAGTAGAATTCTAATGAAAATTTAATACTGAAAAAAGCATGAACCTGAGTCCTCGGAAGAATATAGGAAGAAAATTAAAGGAGACTCACTATCTTTGTCAGATCAATAAAGCATTCCTATGAAGGTTGGACCGCAAAAGTTAAATAAAGATCTTAAGTTTCAACTTGAAAATTCCAAATTCAAGTAAAAATCTCAGCAAAGCTCGCAGCATTATCCAATTGAAGACAGTAAAGAGGGGAAACTATATATGTATAACGATAGTAAAGAGGGAAAACTATATTTGTATAACAGAGACAGAGAATAAACTAAAGTTTGTTATATATCAACAATTGGCATACCAACATAAAACGAACAAAAGGAAATCACCACATTTCACAGTTTTAGAATTCAGGATTTATAGTTGAAGGATTGAGACTTACATATTCAGGCATACTGTCTAATAATTTTGGCTGCATTAAAGTTCTTCTCCTCCCCATTACTATTTTTGTCTTTGATGGCACTTAGTGTTCCCTATACTGTAATAATGTGCGTATCCATGTAAAACAATTTCATACAGACACGTGTGATCAAATAATCACATACATGCTAAGAGTACAACACTGAAATATGACGACAACAACAACAACGACGACATACACAGTATTATCCCACATCGTGGGTTTGAGGAGGGTAGTGTGTACGCAGACCTTACCTACATTGTGAGGATAGAGAGGCTGTTTCCGATAAACGTTCGGCTAGTCACGAAAATATGAATGAAAATAAAAAAAAATCAGATCTGTGTCCATCAAATATTCAAAATCATACAGAGCGAAATTAAAAGCCAAAAAAGGTGTAATAAGAGAGCAAAGCAGAAGCACATAGAGACTGCTTATTCGAGACTAATAAGAGAGCAAAGCAGTAGTTTATTCGAGATGTACATTTACACAATGGGTGAACGTCCTTATGCATTGGAAATGGCAAACTTACTTGACCCTGGAGGTATCTACTTCCATTCTAGAGTGATTGCTCAAGGAGACTGCACCCAGAGGCATCAAAAGGGTCTCGATGTTGTTGTGGGTCAAGAAAGTGCTGTCCTGATCCTTGATGATACTGAAGCGGTAAGCAATTCTCTAGGAGTATCATGTTCCTCCACGAAGAATGAAAGAATTTCTTTGGTGGTTAGGAGAATGCTAATACCATTGAGATAGTTCTTATTCCATATAGTAATTTTCCTTCTCAAAGAAAAAGAATGCTAATACCATTGAAGGCTTATCACGTACATACATACAAAGGGAGAGTTAATTGGATTAAATTTAAGTTCCCACCACCCTAATTCCATGACAGCTTTCCATTTTTATGTATTGCTATTCTGACAGTTCAGATTTGTTTTTGGAGTTTAACTTAATTATCTGCATGGAGCTTCGTTGAGCCTGATTGTTATCTACGGTTCTTTGTTCGTGTTTGTGCCATGCGTTCACATTTGTAGTTCCCTCATTTTTAATGATTGTTAAGCATGTTCAAGTTACATTTGATTACCATTTTTTACTGGCACTTTGCTGGGGGTGGAGAAAATGCAGGAGTTGCTGTTGACGTACTGAAAGCAAGTTTTGAATAATGGAATGAAACAATTTGCTGCTCTTGCCTGCAATTAATAAATTGGACGGTTTCTCACTTTGTGTGTTATCCTTGTGCTGAGTTCTATCATTTCAACACTATTGTACGTCCCTGAAGGGGCTGCCTGCAATTAATAATTATGTACAAGTTTCTGCTCCACTTGCTTTCCATTGTATCTCTTGTCAGATACTCCTTGGAACTTATTAATATCTACAAACCAGTTTCTTGTTTCTACATGTTCATTATATATCTTCATATTTTAGTCAGTTCTCTATGAACCATAGTTGTGCTAATAGCTGTCATCAATTGTTTTTTCTTTAACTCCCATTTATGTTCCCAAATGCAAGTGCTGATTTTGTTTTTTGAAAATGGGGTCTGTTTGTGCTGAAATTCATAAAAGCAGTAGTTTACTGTAATCTTCTGCTCCCAGAAACTCTTTTAATTCATATTTCTTATTATAAACCTTTTGCGTCTAGAACTGTAGAACAATTTCCGTTGTTTATTACACCCTATTTGATCAAAGTCTTAGTTATTTTTCATGTGTTTTATTTATGGATACTTTTTCTTGATGTTGCCGATAGTTGGTTTGAGTTCTCCTAGTTTGAGTTAAATGCTTATGTTTGTATTGTATGACTATCTTAAACTTGTAAACTGCATGAATCTCTGTAAGACCTGCTCTGTGTCTAAAGTTCTCTGAGTAATCTCATTTGAGCGAAGACTATTATCTAGTTCCATATTTTTCTAAATTCTAATTTTTAATTAGAGAAATGAGTTGATTTTTGGGGGAACTGAAACCTGTGTTGTTTTAGGTATGGGGAAAGCACAAGGAGAACCTAATACTGATGGAGCGATATCATTTCTTTACCTCAAGTTGTCGACAATTTGGTTTAAAATGTAAATCACTTTCTGAAACGAAAAGTGATGAAAATGAAGTTGAGGGAGCGCTTGCCTCTGTTTTAAAAGTACTGCAACAGATCCACACTCTGTTCTTCGACCCGGTATGTTTTTTGCTATTCCTCCCCCAAAATTAACTCATACTTTCTGTTTGAGTCGTCTCAAAATCTGTCCATTGTTGAGGTTTTTTTTTCTTATTTTTTTTTTCAGGAACGCAGGGACAATATTATGGAGCGAGATGTTAGGCAGGTAAAATTCTTG